AAATCCCGCATTTGGCTGATTTATTTGTGGGTTGTGCTGTGTAATATGCATGATAATTAATTAGCTGTTTCTTTTTTATCGGAATTAATTATGTCAATTAATTAGTTTTTTTATTTGCATGGTAATTTATTATGAAAAATGCATATTATAAAACCAATAATGACTTGTTTTAAATATAAATAACTATATTTAAAATAAAGTTTAAAAAATTTTGAGGAATAAGTATGTCCGTGCATTACAGGGGATACACACTAGTTGTTTTGACGCTGTTTAATTTTGTCTTGTTTATTGTTTTTTGTAAATTTTATTATTACTATTTTAAGTTGCAATAACAAACATTTTGAGTTGCATTTTAGATACTTCAGTTATTATGTATGAATAAAACCTATTGATCAATCTTTTATATATTTTTTCTAATTTTTTCTTATGAATTTATGTTTGAAAAAGATGAAGAAGAAGAAGAAGAAAGAAGAAAAAGAGAGGAAAAATGTGAAAAAGAAAAGAAGAGGGAGAAGGAATAACATTAAAAAATTTTATAAGTTTCCTTTTAATTTGGTCGTTTTACGCGTAGTTTTCCAACCCATACCGACCCGACGGGTCGACTGAAAGGGCTAGTGTCGGAGCACAATTGATTGTGTATTAGAAAGTTGTAGTTGCTATCTCCCTTTGGTAACCTTTCTTCTCGGATATGGAGCCAGAACCGGTTCGGGTGGACTATTCGGACCGGGTAACATTTGACCTAGTCGATCCGAGGAATTGATCCGTTCAGGTCAACCCGGTTGACATTTTTTTAAAAATATTTTTTATTTAAAAAAAATAAAAACCATGTATATACATTTATATGGTAAATATTTATTATGAGATACAATACACGTTGATGTAAAATTTTTTTATACAACATTTAATTTTGTTACTTTTACATATATATTTATATGACAAAAATACTATATATATAATTTTATAATTTTTAAAATTTATTATTCAGTTTAGTAATTGACCGGGTGACTCTGCGGTTGACCCAGTGTCCTGGAGACCAGTCGAGCCTTCAAAGCGCTCAATATTGCCATCAAAGTGTCGTTTGATTTTGTAAACCCATTTGCACCAATATTGGTTTCTTGCCGGGAGGAAGCGGCTCGATGGTCCAGGTGTCGTTGTCTTCAGGGGCACGAAGTTCGTCATTCCTTGCATCACGCCAGCGAATGCCCTTAACGCAAATCGAGTAGGTCCTCAACTCAATCTCAGGGTCGAACTAAGAAAGCCAAGTGAGACGGAGAGAAACCATTAAAATTGACAAAATGTTCGAGTGGGTAGACCGTACATGAAGAAGTTGATGAAGTGGGTACAAAACAAGGGGGAATGACATATTCGAGTAGCAATGGTAATCATTGAGTCGGACAAGTGGACGACGGGAGCAATGTCTTGGCTCCGGTGTAGCCGTGAGGCTGGTTGGTACCGTCTGTGGAATCATGTTCATCGAAGTCGTGGGGCTGGGCTGGAAGTGCGGTCATGGGCGTATTGAGATGTGGGCGAGCTTGGGTAATTGGCCAGGTTGAACTTAATTTGCCAACTATAATTTTTATATTTTCTGTAAATACAGTTGGAACTGGTAAATTTACAGACAGTAAAGGAAAGACAAAGAAGAAAGATGTCGGCTAAGGGCTTGATTGTTTATGAAATAATTTGTTCAAATTGAGTTATTTTGGTTAACTATAGTTAATTTTGAAAAAGGTGGTATGGTTAGTTGTAGTGAAATTTTAAGAATGTATTAAAATAATATTTAAAATAAAATAATTAAAATTGATTTAATTTAAAAGTAAGAGATAAATGATTGTAAATGATTGGAAATGATAGGTAGTTAAAATTATGTGAGTGGATGAATAATGATTTAAAGTTGATGTGATGTGTAACAATGATTGGTTTGTATTATTTAATTATATGAATAATATTAAAGATAGTGGGATTGAGTTAAAGTTGAGTTAGATTTTGAGTTGAAATAAAAGTGAGTAAATTATTTGGTAAACAATCACCCCCTAAGTATTTTAAATTCATTAATGGCTTGCTTAATATGGGTATTTATTTTGGGATTGTTAACTTTTGAGTTTTGATTAATCGATCTCATAACTAAACAATTTTCTATACAAGGAAAAAAAAAAGAGAAAGTTGCAAGTGCACGCGCACAAAAGTTTGTTAATGACACTTCGAATTCAAACCTCAGTTGATGCCGAAAATAAATTTAAAAGAATCTCATCCCACTCATAATTTCTCTCAAAAATCTTTTTAGTACTTTTTTATTTTTTCGAAACGATAAAAATATTATTATAAATCAAAAAGCACAATTGTGCGAATATACAACAGTCAACGACTGAAAATACAGCCAACAGCTGAAAAAAAAAGGAAGACAGGTCTTCAGAAGCCCGCCTTGAATACCGGCTAGAAAACGCTAGAATAAAAAATTAACCCACAACACAAACTACTAACACAACAACAAGACTCCAACAGAGTAATATCCAAGTGTCGGACCCCAACAGGGTAATACCCGAGTGTCGGACCCCAACAGAGTAATAATATGACACTCGGGCGAATAGATTGACACTCGGACGCACAGAGGCTAAAGGCCCAAACCAAAAAAACACAAACCAGAGACAAACGACACCAGACTAAATAGCAAATAACAAACAAACACTAAAAAAAACCAGCAAAACACTAAAAAAATAAACTAGCCCTTCCCACAGCAGTTGCACCCAACCTAACCAGCGGAAACAAGTTGACCAAGCATCCCACAGCCAGAAGAACCAATCCCGAAACTGCCAAAACCACTCGGTTGCCTAACGGAATCGAAACCCCAAACCCCGGAACATCACCAAGCCAACCTGCACCACAACCTGGAAGTAATGATCAATTGTGATGTGATAGAAAATATTAAATGATTAATGATAATTATAAATATGTGAGAAGTTGAATAGTGAATTTTATAAATATAAATTGTAGTAATGATTAATTCTAATTTAAAAATTATATTGAAAATTCAGTTAATTTTTTGCTATTTTTTTTCCTTTAAAGTATTTGAAAATCACCAACAGGGGTTGACTCAAGTGGTAAACAGCTTGATGTCGCTTAAGCAAGGTCTCGGGTTCGAGTCCTTGTGGATGCAAAAAACCCTTGTTGGGAGACTCACCCACCATTATCAGGTGTGCTACCCAGGTCGACCAACGAATTAGTCGGGGCATAGCTCTGGATACCGTGACTAGCTACAAAAAAAAAAAAGTATTTGAAAATCTTTCAAGAACTCAGCAAATAACGGTAGATGTAAGTGATCTATATTTTTTATTACATTTTCCATGGATGAAAAATAATCATGCATTCGCGGCTGAGTGTGGTGGTAGATGTAGGTTGAGCCATATTCTTCGAAGTGGTCGGCTCCCTTGGAGGCAGAGATTCAGGCAGTTGGGGCACCGACATTTTAGAATTAAATGTTTCGATCGTGCTAGGGCTGTCGAAAATAGTGGAGTTCGTGAATTTTGGAGCAGTGGACTCATGAATGGATGAAGCATATGGGTCGGCGTGGGAATATATAGAAAGTGATTTTCAGGAAAAATGACATCTAGGGAAATAAAAACTTCATTTGTCCAAATTATAAAGTTTCCACCCTTTTATAGAGTGGGGATAACAAAAAAAATACACATTGACGGAACCGAGATACAAATTTATTGAAAGAGCGCAAAAAATCTTTGGCATAAGAGAGGCACCCAAAAACATGAAGATAATCATATGGCACCGATTCTCCATGAAGAACCTCAAGTGGGGACTTGCCCGGTAATAGTGGTGTCGGGTATGATTAATAATATGCGTGGCTATTAAAACACATTCACCTAAAAATTTATTGGTAAATTAGCTTAAAAACGGAGGGTACAAGTCACATTATGGATGTGGCAGTGTTTACGTTTGACTCGCCGTTTTGTTGTGGGCTGTAGACACAAGATTTTTGGTGTATAATGTTGTGTTCATCCAAAAAGTTTTGCAAGGACCTCGATAAAGATTCTTTACCATTGTCTGAACAAAATTATTAAAAAAACACGACCAAAATGTGTGTGAATCATTGTAAAAGAGGTGGACAAAAGATGATAAGTTTTGGATGTATTATGCATATCAGGAAAGTCCAAACGGCCCGACTATAATCATCAACAAAGGTGAGCCCAAGAAATTGATTTCGTGCGATAGGAAAGTTCAAACGGCCCGACTTTATATCATTTTGTAAAATATAATACATTCCGTTTTAAAGTATTCATATATTTTGAAAATGTATGATTAACTACCAACTATTATATTTGTGTACGTAACACCAGTATTCTTACTGTCACACGAAACATCAAATTAATTAAAAGTGTAGCATGGTAAATTTCTTTTATTTATTTTTTCAAAGTTTCTAACTTCCAGAATGATAAATTTTAACTATCACATGGTATGAAGATTGAAGGGAGATAATCAAGTGATAACAAATTATTTTAATAGTGAAACTTATAACACTAGTAAAATTAGATTTTTCTTTTCTTTTCAAATTTTTAACTCTAAAGTCATAAATTTTGACGATGTATCACAGAGTGTGCACATACAAAGAAGCCAATCATAAGCCGTGACGTACCATTTTAAACTCAAACTTACGATTAATTAGCTTATGAAAATGGATTAAATTTTAGAATAAATTAATTTGTTAATATCATTTCAAAACAATTTGTTATTCAAGCTAAACAAGAACCAACAGAAACGAGAGAAATGAAATTTAAAACACTAATTTCGAATTAAAAACAAGATTATTTGATCACCTGTATTAGCTATCTTTAAGTCATTTGGAGGAAGTGATGGGTTTCATGTAAGTGAACTGCTGTATGCCCCATAGAGTGGCCCTTTTTTATATATTGTTTTACATTTTTTAGGGGAAAAAAAGTACTAATAAACTCTAAAAAAAACATAAGAAAAATAAAATGGGGACATAAATTTTACATTCAGCCCCGTATATTGCCAAAGGCTCGGTCGAGAACGCCCTGGAAAGCCTCGACCGAGCAAGGCAACTGCAAGGGCCCCACACGACCCCTACCACCATCCTCAACAACCTCGTCGAGCATCGCCACAAAAGCCCGAGAGTTGACTGCGGCAATCGGCACGAGATACCTAACCGCCTCGTGCTCGACTGGCCCCACGCACACGGGCACGTGCCCTTTTGGAGTCCCAATTTCGCGATTTCTCTTTACCACACGAAAAATCCATGCGTTCATTTTCTCGTAACCGTACGCCGTGCGGTCGACCTTCTTGAAGCCGAACATCCTTAACAACCGCCGAATTTTGTAAGGCAGGACAATTTCCATCGTGTGTATATGTGTGTGCGTGTGTGGTCTGATGAGTGATAAAGAGCCAATGTGGGGAAAAGACAAAGGACCAGATATTCCACAGTCTTCAGCCAAACAGTCTTTGGTTCTTTCCACGTGTTATAACTAATCATATTAAGTTAGGTTAATTATGACTTAGTACCTTTGATCTAAGTCAAATTTAATCAGAAGCATCTGTAGACACAAACTGCATAGGCGGCATGCTTGTTTATTATAAAGTAATAAGAAAAGAACTAAATTTTTTTTATTCTCAATTCAAAAATCTAACTTAACTATAACTCAATATAACTAATGGCCGAGATCAATAGCCATCAAGAATTAAAAGCTAACACCAAAATGGAAAGTGATGAAGAACAATGGAATAGAAGCAGCAGCCGTAATGTTCAATGTCATTCAATGTTACTGTAACCTAGAAACCTGTGAAAAGGGATTTTATACAAGCATCTAATCTAATGACAGCCGTAGGATTAAAACCAAGGGCTGAGATGAAATCTAGAAAGCTAGAGAATAATTACTAAGAAAAGCAACATGGAGAGGAGTTGTGCATGCATGGACATAACATGCATACGTCCAAGAATTAAAAGCTAACACCAAAATGGAAAGTGATGAAGAACAATGGAATAGAAGCAGTAGCCGTAATGTTCAATGTCATTCGATGTTACTGTAACCTAAAACCTGTGAAAAGGGATTTTATACAAGCATCTAATCTAATGACAGCCGTAGGATTAAAACCAAGGGCTGAGATGAAATCTAGAAAGCTAGAGAATAATTACTAAGAAAAGCAACATGGAGAGGAGTTGTGCATGCATGGACATAACATGCATACGTCCAAAAATAGAATAAATGTTGACTAGGTCAATAGTGCTATTACGCCCCCTTCAATTCGAACGAGGGTTTTGGTTTGACTGATAATTTGTCTCGAAGCCGAGTGAAGAATTGACCGGACAATGGCTTGGTAAGAATATCGGCCGTCTGATCCAATGCGGTAATGTGATGAACAGAGATGGTGCGAAGTTGTACTTGTTCCCTTATGAAATGGAGATCGATGGCGGCGTGCTTGGATTTTGAATGATGGACAGGATTTGCAGAGCAGGACAGAGCCAAGATTATCAACCCACACTGTAGAAGGGTGGAGCTGAGGGATGTTTAATCCAGATAACAGGCTGTGCAGCCATATGAGGTCACAAGTGGCAGCAGCAAGGCTTCTGCATTCAGCTTCAGTGCTAGATCTAGCTATGGTCTTTTGCTTTTTACTACTCCAAGAAATTAAATTGCTGCCAAGAAATATACAAAATCCTGTAGTTGATTTTCGATCATTAATATTGGTTGCCCAATCAGAATCAGCAAAGGCAACAAGCTGTAGAGATGGTGACTTAGTGATGTGAAGACCATAATGAGCTGAACCACTAAGATACCGCATGAGTCTTTTTAAAGCCTTCCAATGAATGTCAAGAGGATTTTGCATGTATTGACTACACTTCTTGACAGAAAATGCAATTTCAGGCCTTGTTATTGTAGCATACTGCAGTGCTCCAATGATTTGCTTATATAATGTTTTATTTTCAACAGGCACCCCATTATGTTTTGAAAGGCAGGAAGTATAGACCATAGGTGTGCTGAGGCTCTTGCAACTGCTCATGTTAGCTTTCTTGAGAATATTTTTTATATAAGAAGTTTGGCTGAGAAAAAGGCCATCATTGGTTTTAGTGACTTCTAGACCCAAGAAATAGTTGATGGAACCTAAATCCTTAAGAGAAAAGTGATTTTTGAGAACTGATACAATGTGATCAATGACAAGAGTGCTTGTACCTGTGATGAGTAAATCATCTACATATGCCAAGATAAATACAGTGGAATCGTTGTCATGCATAATGAAAAGAGAAGAATCAGCTTTAGAACACTTGAAGCCAAGAGAACAAAGAACAGTACCAAGCTTGAAGAACCATGACCTGGAAGCTTGTCTTAGGCCATACAATGACTTCTTAAGGAGACAAACCATGTTTTGACCTTTCTCATATCCAGGTGGTTAAACCATATAAATGTCAGTATCCAAGTCTCCATTTAAAAAGGCATTGTCTACATCTATCTGTCTTGTTGGCCAAGAGTTGGTAACAGCTATGGATAAGACTGCTCTAATGGTGGCAGGCTTGACCACTGGGCTGAAAGTTTCAGTGAAGTCTAGTCCTGGTATTTGACACTAATCTTGCTTTGAACCTTGCCACTGAGCCATCTGCATTCTTCTTTAATTTGAAAATCCACCTGCACCCTATAGGCTTTTTCCCTGCAGGAAGTTCAGTTAGATCCCAAGTGTGGTTGGCAATCAAGGCTTTATATTCTTGATCCATTGCTTGTTTCCAATTAGCATCTTTAAGTGCATCAGCAAGAGTTGATGGTTCAATGTAATCTCTAGTTTGCTGAGTGCAAGTGAAGATCTTTTTCTTGGAGATCCCAGCTCTCCCTCTTGTGATCATAGGGTGAATGTGTTCTGCATCAACATGGTTAGGAGCAACAGTAGGAACAGAGATGGTATTAGTATCACTATCAATTGGTAAGTCTATGTAAATCTGTCCAATGGGTATTCTGGAAGATGAAGTTGAGGAAGAAGCACTGTGATGTTGTGAAGAATGCTGGGAGAGTGAAGGAATGGAGTTTGTGTGTGGTGGAGTAGAATGATGAGATGAAGGTGTAGAGGGATGATTAGCAGGTGTTGTTGTGGGGTGTGGTGAGGGTGGGGTATGAGATGTGGCAGGAGGTGGTTGGATGATAAGGGGAAGAGAGTTATGAGTAAACTCAGATTGATTTTGATGTAGAGGACTGTCAATCTTGTCTTTGAAGGGAAAAACCTGTTCATCAAAGGTTACATGCCTAGAAATTATGATCTTTCTATTAGGCAGTAATATCTTATATCCCTTGTATTGGTCATGATATCCAATAAAAACACTCAGCTGGCTTTTAAAATCAAGTTTATGCTTGTTGTATGGCTTCAAATAAGGATAACAAGCACAACCAAAAACTCTCATATGATTATAATTTGGTTTCAAGCCTGTTAAAGCTTCAAAGGGTGACAGAAAATTCAAAACCTTGCTAGGCACTCTATTTAACAGGTAAACAGTTGTGGAAAAAGCATGATCCCAAAATCTTTTAGGGAGAGATGAGTGAGCTAAAAGAGATAAACCAGAATTTACAATGTGCCTATGCTTTCTTTCAGCCATTCCATTTTGCTCAGGGGTATAGGGACATGACATTCTATAAGATATGCCATTTTGGAGAAAGAAATCAGATAATGGCTTATATTCTGTGCCTCCATCACTTTGTACTATTCTGATTTTTTTGGAAAATTGGTTTTCAACAAGGGTTCTGAAATGGATAAAGGCATTTGATGCATCTGATTTGTTTTTCAAGAAGTATATCCATGTAAACCTGGTTTTGTGATCAACAAAGTTAATATAGTAACTGTGGCCAGACTCAGATTTGATGGAACAAGGTCCCCATAGGTCAGTATAGATAAGCTCAAGGACATCATAACAATCAGTAAGGGAATCATTAAAAGGAAGCTTGTGACACTTTCCCATAAAACAAGATGAGCACAGAAATTTGTTTTCATTGTCAACAAAATCAACATTACAGCCTTTAAGAGCCCTCTTTACAATGTCAAAGGATGAATGTCCTAATCTATTGTGCCAAAGGTCTAAACTAAATTTATTCTTGATAGAGGCTGAATGAGTCTGAGGTTGGAACCTTGAAAATGAGGGAGGTACTCCAACTTTAGTTCCTTTAGCTGGCTTCATATCAAAGCAATACAGTCCATTAATAAGTCTGTCTTTGAGAAGTGTCACTCCTGTGGCTTGATCCTTAAGAAGACAGAAGAAAGGATGAAACTCAAAGTATACTTGGTTATCTCTAGCAAACTGTGAAACACTCAAAAGGTTTTTAGTTATGTGAGGGACACAAAGAAGATTGTTGAGAACAAATGAATGATTTTTATTGGAAGCAGATTTCAACATAGAAGAACCAATATGAGTGATAGGCATACATGCACCATTCCCCATTTCTATCTTGTCATCACCATGGTATTCTGTTGCAAGACTGAGGTTGTTAAGGTCTGCTGTGATGTGATTTGTTGCTCCTGAATCTGGCAGCCACTGGGATTCTTGAAAATTCTGATTAGCTTCTGAACCACCAAAGCTACTTCCATTGTATGAACTCAGATTAGCCATGTTTGCCATGTTTTGATATCCCTGCTGGTTTCTGAAGTTACTAGGCTGAGAGTAGGTGTAAGATTGGTCAAACCTATTGTAACATCTATCAGCTGTATGACCATCTTTTTGACAGATTTGGCATCTCACAAAGTTGTTTCTTCCTCCTCTACCTCTATAGTTAGTATTTCTGCCAAATCTTCCACCTCTATTACCTCTTCCTTGGGTAGATCTTCCTCTTGCAGATTGATTGGGAGTGAATCCTCCTCTTTCTGATGCTTGTTGGGATGCAACATTTGCAAATCCCCTAAAGCCATCTCCATTGAGAGAGCTTACACTGTTTCTCTCTATTCTGCTCTCAAAAGTCAGTAAAAGAGATTGAACTTCTCTGAGAGTGCATGGTGGTATCCTTGAGTTGATTGAAACAGAGACTGAATCATACTCAGCACCCAAACCATCAAGCATAGATGAAATGTGGTCATCCTCTGTGTAAGAGTTACCAGCAGCAGCCAAGGCATCATAGCAAGCTTTAATTTTATTCAGATACTCTCTCATTGTCTGTGAACCCTTTTTGAGATTGTGGAGCTGAGATTTGATTTGCATAATTTTTGCTCTCGATTGGGTTGTGAAATCCAACTCCAATGCTTCCCAGATCTCAGAGGAGGAGTTAAGGCCCACAGTGTTAACAAGGATCTCTTCAGTAAGAGAGCTTAAGAGCCAAGACACCAAGAGTTGATCTTG